ATTAGTATGAAAAACGTCAGTCAGCATTTGACTCAATGATAAATTGTATTTGCTGACAAGGTCATTGTATCGACCATAGAACTTACGAGATGATGACTTTAAACGAGACTGTTGATATTCTTGTTTCATCAACTTGTTTGTCAATAATTTACCTCGTATTAGAAATTGTACATACGTAGAGCATGCTCTTGCGTATCGAATCAACTGAGAGATATAAACCCCGTATGCAGGTGATGAAGGTATATTGCTGCATAAGTAAGGGAAGTTGACGATTGAAAAGTTAAAGTCATCACGTTTATCATGAAGCTTGGTTGTTAGATTACCATTAACGTCTTTTTCAAGTAAAATATCCAATTATGAAACAGATGTGTCAGATTCAGATTCTGTGGTATTTTTATCTCAAGCTCACCGGGATATATCGTACCGACATAAGAATGGAAATAACCATTGTTAATTGACAATACGTCGTCGATATATCTAAATGTCGAGTTGAAGGCCACAGCAAGTGTTTTCTTCTTTTCACGTATAGGATATTGGACAAATTCTGCTTCATATGAATACAATAAAAGGTCTGCTAATAATGGGGAGCAATTGGTACCCATGGGAATTCCAATAGATTGTTGGAAGACCTGGTCTCCAAAAACCACATAGATATTGTCAATCAGAAACTCAAGCATCTTTTTAATGCCAACTTCAGAGTACTTGTGTGTACAATCCGAATGTTTTTTAACAAAATAATTTTGCAAATGACCAATGACAAGGTAAGTAAATTTACGAGTTCCATTTTTATTGAAAAAGCAGCTGTCAATGATATCAAAAAGCCTGGATTTTAATTTATCGTGGGGAATGGTTGTGTATAAAGTTAAAAAGTCGTAAGTTTTTAAGCTGTTGATTTTAGTAAAATCTTGTGATTTCAAATTTTCCAAAAGTTCCTTGGAATTTTTAAGTATCCACATCTGATTTACACCACTTCTCGAATATATTGTTGCACAAATGAACTTACAACTATGACCAAAAACTTTAGTTGTCAGATTGTAAAATTTTGCAGAAATTAATGTTTCTGTTTAAAATCGCCAGCGTAAAAATATGTCTCTACATTCCTTATTAAAAGATTGAAACCATTTTAAATTTTATGTAGATTAGAAAGTTATAAGCAGAACTATATTTTGGTCTTAGTCGTAAGTTATTTTGTAAAAAGGGTCCAGGATCAAAGATCAGTCTCATTTATTTATTTAGCTTTTAAGGATTAATTCTTAGTTATAGGTTTAGTTTGTAAGAAAACAATACGAATCGTGAAAAAAGCAAATATACGGACCCCCGGAATCACAAGATATGGGATCAGGTGTCTTAGAGGAGAAAGCACCCCCTTTTGATCAGCCACACCGCCTTGCATTGAGACCGATTAAACGGAATAATCTTTAACCAAAATTACTGTAAAAACAATGACTTAAAAGTTGGTATGAAACAATTGATAGATGTATTTGCAAACAAGGTCATTATAACGATCATTTAATTTTAGAAATGCTGAATTTCAACGACATTGCTGAAAGCCTTCGCAACTTCAACATAATTACCAGTAGCCTGTCTCGTTTAAAAATTGATCATACTAAGAACATGCTCTTACATACCGAATTAGTTGGGAGACAAACACTATATGCAGGTGGTATTTACTGTGTTTATAGGGAAAACAACAAAGACTAAAGTTATCATACTTATCATAAGTTGATGCTACGGGTATTTTAACAACCTCGTTTAAAGTCAGCATTTCGTAAATTTTAAGATAGTTATAATGACCTTTGTAAGCAAATACAACCTATCACTGGGTCGTATTTTAACTGATATGTTTCATATCAACTGTTGGGCATTTGATTACGGATTACTCCGTCTACCGTGTTCAATATATAGGACTCATGGTTTTTTTTTTTTTTTAAATTTTCTTTAGATCAATCACTGTTCGTTATCTTCACATATTTCATATAATTTTGTTATTAATTGGAAATTAGCGTCTATAGTCAGTAAAAATTCCAAATATAAAACAAATGTGGCAGACTCTGTGTTCTCATATATATAAATATATATAGAGAGAGAGAGAGAGCACAAAGAAATTCACTTTTACAAGGATACCCACTTTCGCCCCAGCCAGGGGTTGAACTCTCGACCTACGGAATCTGTCTCCTAGCAGTACAGGAACAGCGCGCAAGACCGCTCGGCTATCTAGGCAAGTCAAAAAACTTGCTTTCGATGCCGATGGAATTCTCGCGGCGCTGCCCTACACTACACGGTCATTGAGAATGAAAGTGAGATACAGTTACTTGGACATTAGTTTTATTAGAGGATCGTTACATATATATATATATATATATATATATATGCAAATAACTATTGCTAATTGTTTAATATATCTAAATGTCGAATTGAACGCAGGAGAAAGAGCTTTCTTCGCAGAAGTGTAGAATTTTTTTTTTAAAATTCTGCTTCATGATAATATGAAAATACACGTAGGTGGCTAACAAAGCAGCACAATAAGTGTACATCTGAATTCCTATAGATTATTCCGAAGACAACATAGATAGCGTTAATGATAAACTGCAGCATCTTTTTGATATCAACTTCAAGGTACTTGTGTGTAAAATAGAATGATTTTAAACAAAGTATCTTTGTCAGTGGCCAATCACAACAATTAGCTTTTGATTTTTTTTTTGGGGGGGGGGGATTTCAAATTTTCTAAAAGTTCTTCTTTGAAATTTTTGAGAATCCACATAATATATACACCACGTTTGTCAATGCTGTGTTACAGTGCATCTGAAGTTTCGCTTTCAGAGCAGTTAAAATTTTTGTGATGAGTAAAGATAGGGGCTTAGTGGAACGTTTACTGGACCCTGCAATGTATCTTTGTAAAGATTTTTTTAAATGAAATTTGGAATTCAGTATAGGTACATTAACTGAAATTCACTACCGTCGACTTTAATGTTAAAATAATTTAAAACTGAAACTTTATTTTGAGGAATTTCATCCTTAGAAAGGGAACTGTGTGAATATCTCTATAGAAAGAAATACAATGTAAGTCTCGAAATTTTCGAAAAGCCCTGGTTTTTTTAAATTTAAGTAAGATTGTATTAAATGTGAAAAAAAATGAAGTACATGTATTCATAAATACACTCATGATACATACATACATATATTCAGTATCCAGATGTACACGTAAATACTGTAAATATAAAGACAATGGCCTAATAAATTGGGTTTTTTCTGTATGTAAGATCGTGTTTGGAGTATATACGATCAAATTTTTAAACCGAGGCAATCTCCTAAAAAATTGAAATGAATGAGATAGAGCTTTCTACTATCTCTTTTAAAGTTATCATTTCGCAAATTCTATGGTCGTTATAATGACCTTTGCCTGCAAACACAAACTATTCTCAGGTTGTATTTTGGCTGACATGTTTCCTGAGGCCATTACATCAATGTAGACTACGGATTACTTCTTTAACTATATAAATACAGAGGTTCCCAGCGGGTGTGAACTGGTCGACAGAGGATGTTTACTCTTCTATACATTTTATCCTACCTCTGGTGTGTCTCGGGGGTCATTTTATCCTACCTCTGGTGTGTCCCGGGGGTCATTTTATCCTACCTCTGGTGTGTCCCGGGGGTCATTTTACCCTACCTCTGGTGTGTCCCGGGGGTCATTTTTTCTGCCCTGTTCACGTTCGCCTTAACAATTGATGGTACACAGAACCAAATCAGTTGAGAGACTTACACAATATATGCAAGTGATAAAAGAATATTGCCACATTAACATCGGAAGTTTTGAGGATGAGAAAGCTGGGATCACACTGTTTGTCATATAGTTTCGTTGTTAATTTGTCCAACATCATCTTCACAATGTCAAGGTTTTATGATATTGTTCCTCTTTACAATCTTTGTGAAGAGGAACGATATCACAAACCTTGACATTGTGAAAATGGTCTAGCATTCAAATAAAACAAATGCGTCAGACTCTGTGGCTGTGACGTCTTTTTTTCTAGTTCATTGGGGTCAGGGGATACATCAGGTCGATACAGACGTAAACTAAATGGTAAAATAGTTCGATCTTGTTAGTAGACACCCTAAAATTGATTGGCATGGATTTCCCTGGTCACCTACCACCTCTGTTGCAAATTCAAGACTCCAGATGGGAGTCTATAGAACATGCCCATAACTACACTAAGAGCATGACCTTTTGACCATTTAATGAAGAGGTTTGTATCCGTGGCATATGCCATCTTTGTATCCAATTTGAAACTGGAAAGCCAAAGAGCACTCAATAATCGTGTGGACATTGTTATGGACGCAAGGCACGCACATTGGGAAAAATTACTCTGTGCACTTGCAAATTTGTTGCGAGGGAATTTTTTTTTCTGTTATAGATTTGTAATGCACTTGATCTTTGAATTTAATATAAAGTCCAAATCATTGACACAGAGAACGAAAGTACAAAGTTCGTATTAGTCAGAGCTTTGAAAGTTCTTGAGGAGATACCATGCCGTAGTTAAATAAAAAATGATACTGTACATGCATTAATTCTCTCTCTGTCCTCCTCCTCATCACTCTCTCTCACACACACACACACACATACACACATCACTCTGCATTTTACAAATACAGTATCATTAGCATCGTTTAAAATAATTTATCACATTGAATCGTGCTGTATTCTCGATAGAAAAGAAAAAAATACAAAATATTAGATATTTTTAAAGACACTTAATCCATTGAAATGAATCACGTCTCGTATCTCATTTTTCTTTGGCACCTCTTTCACGAATATGTGATAAAGCGATTTTTTCCCGGAGAATCCTTATATCAAACACAAAACATTAAAATAACTGACTCAAAAGCGCATGTTTATTTTCAAAAAATAGAGACATGTAACCAAAGATAAGAAAGGGAAATTTGTTTCTTTTTATAGAGTGGAGGAGAAATATAGTCATTATTTAACCGATCATCCTGACCCTATGACAAACGATTAAGTTCTCATTAGTAATATTCAGGATTATTGGAGTATATAAACCGCAAATTCTTCATTACAGTAATAGCCTGCTCAGTGTAATAAGCAGAAAAAGGAAACGGCCTATTATAGTGGCTAACAATATCGACTCTGGTCGATTTTCGAGGTCGGCTTCTTTCAGTGAGGATGTAGTTGAAAATGTAGCAGAAATGTAGAAATGTAAATCGGCTTATTGTGAAGAATGACGAATATCTGGTGCCTCGTGGCCCTGGTTTCGGTTGTCCAGCCGTGTTGTCTCCCCAGACAAATCCAGTTTGACATGACAGCTAAAGGATATGAGGAATTTTTCGGACAGAAATTTTACTACACGGTAGGTACATCTACATTTTCTTTGCTGGTTTTTATATCTATCATTTTTAAAGAGTTATATGAATTAAGGTGACGGTGTATTTTTTTCTTGCATACTTATACTAAGTATCCTTTTCTTAGCGATGAATATTACCTTGAAAAAATAGCTTTCTGCTTATTAAGACTATTTGGTTTTAAATATACAAGCTCTATGTTTAAAATATGAGAGTGTAAAGTATCTTCTTTAATTAATATATCTTTTTTATATAGGACCACAGAACATTTTATTATGATGAAGATAGGAATTGTACCTTTTTGAGATCAAGATCTGAAGCAGGAGATGTTCAGTTAAGCATTCTAACTAACTACTCCTCCGGAACTGAATACACTGTGGGGGACAATTGCTTTATGAGATCACTTTCTTCCACATTTGAGAAAAAGTGTTTGTCAGATAATGCTGTTTTCCAAAGGGAAATAATAATGAGAAATGATACGGTTATTTCTCGTGTGCACGTGTACAAGGCAAACATTTCGGAGAATGGTCGAGCATTTGAACGAGAATATGGGGTGGTTCCTGAAGGGGATACTTGTTATTTTCTTTGGCAGAAAGACACTGACCGACCCCGGAGACTTGAAGATATGGAATATTCTCCTGAGACAATTACCTTTACAAATATTCAAAAACAAATTTTGGATAATTCTGTATTCGAGGTTCCAGAGAAATGTGCAGACGCAGAGATAATATAAAAAGCTGTGATGTCTATTTTTTCACTGAACAATGGATAATGTCATGCTTTTATTGTTTAAGTGTCCTTGGAGCAAATCAATATTATCTATTGACCATTACTAGGGTTAATTTCTCTGTACAATGGTGTAATATGAAGATTCTTCAGCGGAAAATCAAAATCGATTCGTGGATGCATTTAATTTTTGATATTGTGCATTGAAATCCTCAAAAGCTTCTGACAGGATATTTACTTTACGAATCTGCATAATGCAAGCCTCCCTCTCAGCAGTGTACGTCTGTTATATGGCTTAGTAAACGTCGTCTGCAGACATTTGCTCTAGTGCATTGAGCGAATAATATGGCGACTGCCAAGTGACCATTACATTCAATCGATTGATGGCAATTGTTCTCTTTATTTCCCTGCGGGGATATTGTTAACGATAAGTGAGCAATACCACTGGCAAACTGTGGTAGATGAGAATTTTCCATAAAATAGCATCGTTATATATATTCATGAAATTGAAACAAAAACTATTGAATAAACAGTTATTTCTGCTCAAATATTGTAATTTTGTATCATTATTTATTGTTTTGCAAAATAAAACCGAGTAAATCTAAATCTTTTTTTTATTGAATTATTCTTTTTTTTTGATAACCCTAAGTATAACTATGCATTAGATGATTGATACTTTCAGCATGTTCAAACGTGAGAACGTGTATTTTATGACAACTTTGTATGGTATTAATCTCGTCATTTATATATGTGGATAAGATCTGCAACACATGGGTTTTACAATTTTTTAAACTTGTGATCCCATGATTTTATGAAAGCTTGTTTTAGCCTTAATGAAAGATACAAAATTATTGATGGAAGATATATATTTTCGACAAACAAAAAAATGTTTCCACAGTGTTAAAATATTTATAGGTCCTATTAACCTATTTATATTATTATTATTATCAGAAACTCGAGCTTTTAGATAATAAGATATAATTATTTATGTCGGTAAATCGTTTTGTCTGCCTATAAGAAATCGGTTATAATGTCGATCGAAACGTAGTTGTAGTTGATTTAACGAATGACAAAAGAGATAGTTCAATTTATTCTTTTAAAACCATGGAAATATTTCCAAACCGGTACTTCTTTGTACTCTTGCTTAATTTTTTTTTTTTTTTTTTTTTTTTTTTTTTTTTAATTAATTTTATTAATTTTCTTTTTTTTCTTTCCTTTTGCAATTTTGCTTCTTTTGCTTTCTGTAACTTTGTCCATTTTTGTTTTTGCTTTCTTCTTCTGTACATTCTTACTCTTGCTTTAATAATTAATTTACTATGTATTTGCCTTGGCCTTGATGTAGGGAGAGGGCTAAAATAGGCTGAGCCTGCTGCCTAATCCTATTCACTCTTACATCTGTGAATAAAATATTGTTTAAATTAAAATTAAAACCATGGAAATGTTACAAGAGGTACATAACATATAAACAATATATAAACTGGATCAAACAGTAGTATGAGAACAGGGTAACTTAATTCTACAATAAATGTGCAGAGTTTTCTTTTTTTTCAAAATTGAAAAAAAAAACGCACAAAACTTTACAATATTTTGTTTAGAGTAATCTATAGTAAAACATTCTCTGCGTAAATTAAATGATACAGGCCTTTGTCAGAAATAATGATATTAATCTCCTGTCTGTTGCATTTACATAAACAACAAAATCTTTCCTTTTTTTGTGAAAATTCTATTGCTGCAGAGTGTAGCTTGTTCTAAATTTTACAATTTTCCCCTAATCTTATGTGAAAACAATGGAAAAAGTTTTGCAATCTCAAAACTGGTTTTAATTTTTAGTATAATTTCCACTTTTTGAACATTTATGAACATTACCATACCACTTCTGTACAAAAATGATATTTTAACCATTTTTTCAGTCTTGGAGTAATTCATTTTACAACATAAAGAATGTTTGTTTATACCATAAGTTACATAATGCACAATTGTAAATAATTATTGCACAAAGACGGAAGGGCTATTTTCATTTCACCCTTTTCTTATTGCTCTTATTACAAATATACAATTCTAAACAACTTTTTTTCTTTTCCATGCACGAGTTTTGCTACTTTGATATAAATATAGTATAGATGTTAATATATAAGGGAAACCGCCGGTTTCATCACTTAAATTTAGATAGAATTGAAATTAATACAGTAAATTTCCTAATTCTTCGTATCATATCAAACATTTCTTTTGGGCTTGTTCACACAATGCTTTTCAGCTTTACGGAAAGTTCCACATCGAGAGAATACAATGTCTAAATATTTGTATACACATGAAATGACACATTATCAGCATTGTAGTAAAACGAATCTGTTGGAGGCGAATTTTTTTTTTTAAATATTACAGTTTTCTGTATACGCAATATGAATAAACTTATGTATGTGAGTGTTGCAAATCATCAAAAGATTCAGACGTAAACAGTAATAGTATTAATAGAATAAAATGTTAAGCAAACAATTTTTAGATTTGTAATTTCCATATGATGAAGGACTAAGCTCTTTAACTTGAATTAAAGATAGATAATCTTGGAAGCTCAGTGAATATTTAAAAAAAAAATATTATCTACCAAAAAAAAAAGGAATGTGTATTTGTATGAAAATCATCTTAAATAGCTATTGGGTCTCACTGAGCTATTGGTTCTGGGTTGTTTATTGAGTCTGGAATTAGAAATAAGAAAATAATGATGAGGGCAGTGGAGATCCTTAGTTTTGTTCAATTATTTATCTTTAAACAAATGTTACAGGTTTTCAGATTGAAGTACAGTTATTCTATTTTATATAATTATTTATTACTTATAATATCATTTTTATTATTTAACTAAACTAAATTCCTAAACTTCAAAAAAAAAAAAAAAAAAAAAAAAAAAAAAACCCTACGAACAGAGATACAAAGCGGGTTCTAGTAAATGTTCAATCAAGCCTCTTTCCTACGAAAATACTACGGCGTATAACAGCAGTGAAGGAGAACTGAACAATTAACATGACATATTCAAGAAGGGATACTAACTAGATGTAGATATTTTAAAATTTAAAACTTGTAGAAAAATTTAGAAGTGCAAAATTTTACCAATATAATTAGCATCAAAACGTACGGCTTTTCAACACTTCAATTAAAGACCAATGGCCCGTTTTACAAAATAACTACGACTAAGACCAAAATTTAATTCTGCTAATAACTTTCTAATTTACATTAAATAAATAATAGTTTTAATCTTTTTAAAAAGAATGTAGAAAGATACTTTTACGCTAACAATTTTAAACAGAATCATCAATTTTGCAAAATTTTACAATCAACTGTAGTTTTTGGTCTTTGTCGTAATTAATTTGGTCGTAGATTCGTTGACGTCAAAGACAACCGCTTCTTCAATAAAAATGGAACCCGTAAATTTGCATACCTTGTCATTGGTCAAATGCAGACATATTTTTTTAAAAAAACATTTCGATTCTACACAAAAGCACTCCGAGGCTGATATCTAAAAGATGCTTTAGTTTCTCATTCATAACATCTAAGTGGTTTTCGGAGACCAGACCTTCCAACAATCTATTGAAAATCCCAGGGTCATATTTATGCCCCGTTATTAGCAGATCTGTTTTTGTAATCATATGAAGCAGAATTTATTTAAAAACTTCCACATGAAAAGTAAATGTCTCTTGCTGTGGCCATCATGCAATTGGATATTTAGATATAGGTATCACATCGCTTTGTCAATTAACATCATTTATGTCCATTGCTATGTCGACTCGATATATTCCAGTGAACTTGAAATAAAAGACACCAAAAAGTCTGCCATAAGTGTTTCATATATTGATGTTTTAATTTACTGACTTTAGACGATAAGGACCGACTTAGAAATAAAATGCATGACAAAAGAGATGATTTCAGCTTTTCCATCATTAACTTTCCTTATTTATTTGGTTATATTTCGCTATCACCTGCACATGCATATGTTATATTTACGTCTGCCAACTTAAGTTTAAAATATATTTATTCAAAACAAATGAAATGGTTTGAACAGCAGGCATATTGCCTATAATCGTTCTCTCCATAGGTCAAGGTAATAGAACAATTAGTGGTACATTTAACATTGAAAAACAGTATGTAAAATAGATCATTAATTGGTACATATATAAGGTGAATCCAGAGAAAGAGAGAGTAAAATAAAGAGAGAGAGAGAAAAAAAAACAAACATAATAAAGCACATTTAACAATGAAAAGCAGTATGTAAAATAAACCATTAATTGGTACATGTATAAAGTGAATTCACAGAGATTGAGAGAGAGAGAGAGTAAATAGAGAGAAAGAAAGACCATAAAAAACATAGTAAGTCTGCCAACTTATTCGATACTCAAGAGCATGCTCTGAGTACGATCAATTTTAAACAGAGGCAGACTATTGACAGATAAGTTAATATGAAAAGGATTTTAACAACTTCGTTTAAAGTCAGCATTTTGTGAATTCTAGTTAAAAGGACCTTGTTAGGCTTTTGTTTTTATATTAAATTTGACTACGGAATATTCATCTACCTGATCAATACACAGAACTCACGGCGGATGTGACCGGTCGACAGGGGATGCTTACTTCCCTAGGCACCTAGCCCCACCTCTGGACTTTCTAGGGGTCCGTGTTTTATGCCATGTTCACAGATTTGTATTGTTTGTAGAATTTTTTTTTTCGATCAGTGTTCGTTATCTTCACCCTTTTCACGGATTTCCATTTAACCGATCCTGACAAAGAGCACACGGCGGGTGTGACCGGTCGGCAGGGAATGCTTAATCTTCCATGGCACCTGATCCCACCTCTGTTTTCAGGGTCCAAGTTGTTTCTGTGCATAATTTTGAGATTGATCACTGTTCGTTATTTTCACATTTCATTTTTTTTTCGTGATTAAGGCTTGCTCAAACCATCAAAAGAGTATCGTACTGGACCATGATATGTGTTCAGAGTTTTATTTGGAAATATGCTGAGGACGCTGTCTGGCAAAAGGACCAGAGAAACGATTGATTAAACTGTTACAAATAAGATGACTTCAGCTTTTCCATCTTCAGGTATCCTTATTTATGTAGTGATAATCCACTACCACCTGCATATGGTGTAAATGTCTTCCAGCTAATTTGACACAAAGAGCATGTTCTGAGTACGATCAATTTTTAAAAGGAGACAGGTTACTGCCAAATAAGTAAATGTTACAGATATTTCAACAACCTCGTTTAAAATCAACATTTCGTAAATTCTATGGTCGTTGTAATGACCTTATTTTCGAATACAACCTATCACTTAATCGTGTTTTTAATGACATATTTCATACCAATTGTTAGATCAATTATTGTATAATAATTTTGACCATGGATTAATCGTCTACCTAATCAATGCAATGACTCTTTCTCCTCCTAGGCACCTATTTCACCTCTGGAATTTCCAGGGGTCCTTGTTTTATGCCCTGTTAACAAATTTCTATTGTTTGTAGGATTTTTGATCGACAACTGTTTGTTATCTTCATCTTTTTCATATATATTTTCTATATATTGCAATAATCTCCATCAGTTATATATCAGGATCGTTTCAACAATGAA